AATAATATTAAATCAATCGTTATAATACTTTTTTGTATACATTTTAATTCCTTTGTTTAACAGTTCTATCTGATTATTAGATAGACTTCTATCCATATTAGACAGAAATGAACGACGACAGTGAACAAGTGGGAGAATGTGAGAATGTGAGCACTCAGGCGCTGCGGCTGCCATCAAAATAAAAAACACATTTTTGAACCCGCCTCGAACACATCGGCCAAACAGAAAAACTTATCGGCCAATGCCGATATTTGAAAAATGCCAAATATCGGCCGATATATCGGCCTTAGCGATATATCAGTTGACCACTAATTGTTACTGTAATTTTGTAATATTATAATTTTGTAAATTTTGATAATAAAATTTATTTAAAAAATAATTGGATTTAATGAAACTGACATACAAACCACTGCTAGAGAAAACATACATGTAACCAAACTTTATCTCAAAATCTTCTAGTTATCTATCTTATAATATTTTTTATATGTATTGAGATCTAAAAGAACATTCATGATAGCCACACATGAAACATATCACTGAAAAGGCTTGAACCAGATAGAAGAGCAAATTGGAGAAGCAATTGCTCTAAATTGGGCTTTTATATGTCATTTAGGTGTTCGGCTTAAAGACACATCGCAGGAGAAGATTACAACTGTTCAGCACAAAACATGCCACTTCAAATGGACTGTCTGTTAGGGATCAGACTCTGGGATCAGTTAATCTCATCCTGACACTGATGATTTGAGACCAGCGGGTAAGTGAGTATGCTTCACATCTTATATAAGGACCACTCAAGCGCACAGATCTGGTATCAGCGGGCTAAATGTATGTCTGGTCCAGGAGCGGTGTCGCATTACAACTACCGAAGTAAGGGCCGTGAGGTGAATGTTCACTTACCTGATCACTCTAACTGCATACTGGTCCGGGGCCCGTCAGGTTGAAGAGTCCGTGACTCACCCCGCCACTGAGTCTGTACGGCAACAAGCGATGACAGCGGCGATGAGTCTTTACTCTGTCAGCAACAAAAGAAAGAGAGAGATGGAGAGAGGATGTCAGGCCAAATGTAACAAATTCACTGAATCACAGCAGTGGCGCAGAGGTCAAGGAAAAGCAGCCAAAAAAGGTTAAAGATGAAATCAAAGCCGTGTCTCAGAGCGCCGCTGAAAATCTATCCCAGCGAGGCAAGGCCACCGCTGATGCGCTCGGCAGACAAGAAGCTAAATACTGCACGCCACTCTGGGATCTTTCATTTTCAGCCGATCAATAAGGACTTATATTTATCAGGATTCCAAGCAGCTGCCACATCTGACAACCTCCACTTCATTTTCGCACTCTGCCCTCCCTCCTTCTCTCTCTCTCTCTATCCATTCATCGTCCAGCCCGTCTTCTGTGGCCTCGTGCTAAATCGGGACCTATCGACCACCAAAGCAAAACGGGGGGCCTCCGGTGTGGCTTCAGCCCTCACATACTGCTGCGTCCTCCTACTAATATTGGGTTAAGAAGTGTGCGTTTTGTCATTAGCCTGTTGGCTCGGGCCCATCTCCCTGCTCTCTTTGTTCCATGCCACGCCATTGAAGCCTGCCAAGAAAATGGCAGCGTAAAACATGTACACTTCACCACTTTATTTCCCCCGTGCAAGCGCTTCGAAAACACAGATATATTTAGGGAGGAAAAGCAGGGGGAAAAGAAGAAATTCTCCAATTTAAATCATTCACAGAAGCAGAAGATTTGCTGAGAGGGCGGAGAAGGCCGAGTTAAAATAGCTCAATCTCTAATCATCTGTACGGCAATATTTGCTGTGAGGCATTCTAAATAGATTATCGCTGGTCCATCTGCCTCATCACTGATTTATAAGGCGTTAAGCTGCTTTCCAAAGGCAAGGACTTCCTTTGCAGCTACAGTGGAAGGATTCTTGTTCAAATCAGGGCCAATGGCAGCTGAACAAGCCCGCCGCTCGCAGTAAAGGAGTTTCTGCTTTCAGCGAGTGAGAGAGGGAGAGGAAATAAAAATAGGACGGCACTATCCGGTTTGGAGTCGCCACATGAAGCAGTTTGAATCCAAAAATGTTCTATCTGAATTATTATTATTATTTTTTTTTCTCCACAAAGAGACAGGGAGGAGGGGAGGAAGGGAAAAACACACACACAAACATACCCACAGAAAACAAGGGACATCATTAACATATGAATACTGTATGCAAATGGTTAGAAGAGAGCAGATGTTGGCGCATTTAATTGACCTATATGTGAATTGCATCCAAACCTACTACACGGAGTATGCTGAGTGTAACACTGGATGCCCGGCACTGGCTTCCTTAAACAACACAAACAGGGAGGAAATGAGGGGAGGGTGTGTGCTTGAGAGAGAGAGGATGGAAAGAAGAGAGATAGAGATGTGTAAAGTGAGGCAGAGACAGATGAAGACAAAGAAACCTGTGTCGGTAAACGGCACGGCCACAGAGATGCCTAAACGCATCGGCTGTCAGCTCCTCGCAACCCTTATGGATGACATCACTGCGCCACACAGAAAATCAATCATGCTGTGGCCTTTGGGGAACATGAGCGTCACTGACAGGTTATGATCTGCAACCTGTGTTGTCTTCAGTTCATCCTCCTCAACTCTTACTTTAACTTCCATACTATGCTGCCGCTCTTTTTCATATAGAGACAACAGGGGGAAAAAAAGAAATGGGGGTTGTAGGGGGTGGAGTCATAGCGCTTATTTTGCTAAGTTTTGCATGGGTGAACTATAAGAACCACAAATGCTAATTTAATCTGGGGTTTGTCCTTTCTTTCCCCCTTTTCTCCCTCCTGCTAGGGAATGTCATTAAATTGTATTAAACAGCCTTTTGTCCGCAGGGCAAGGACCACCCGATATATGATAATACATTAATGCCCTGGTGCTACAGCCACTGAGCTGAGACGCTCTTTAAGGCTGAGCAGTACACACATGGAGCGCTAGTCTGAGTATGGGAGTTTGCATGTGCACAAGTGTGCATGAGAGAGAGAGAGAGGCTGGCTAACAAGTGTGACACATACTAATAGAAACATACCTAATAAATTACAAGCTTTCAGGGTCTGGCAAGCTGACATTTTCTCTGTGAGCAGGACAATTTCATATCTGCGGAGCAGGGGAGCAAATTGCATCACGTGGAGATTGCTGGAAGATTAGCATAAAAATTAACACTTAAATTTCAGCTTATTGTCAAGCCTTCTTCTGCTCTTTCTGCAAAACCAACAATCAATTCCTCTTAGAAATCTGATTAGCTTCCATGATGCTTATTATCCTAGTCATGTTCCCACGTCGCCGTCCAAGACTCCTGAACTATTTGTTAAAATAGAATTAAGAGGCTGATCAATCCATAGGTGTCTCTCATATGCACATAGCTTTTTGCACACTTTGCTTTTGTCCAGCCCCTTTATTAGCAGTCGCTCATTAAATATGCTGATTAATATGCCATAGATCGCAGCGGAGTATTTTACATTCAGATGGTTTATTATATACATGTTAAGCCCGGCTGGGGCAGCCGAAAGAAACAGCATTAAGTGCAAAAATAAAAATGCTTCATTATAGTTCCGTTAGCCGTAAATATAGCTTAAATATTTTCTTTCTTTCTTCCATTGTAAGCTTTTCATTGAGAATATTATATTATTTTGCATATGCTAATTGTCACGAATTCGGTCCATGGACTTCCGTTTATTCACCACCAGAGGTCACCCTTTCCATTACATTGACTCTCGCACAACACAAACTGTTGCATAGCACCCCGGACTACATATCCCATCATTCTTTGCACGATTTGCACACTGCACTGATTGCACTCATTGCACACAGCTGTTTCTAATCACCTCACTCACTATATAACACCCACTCTAACCACCTTTCTCTGCTGAGTATTGTTTAGCCTGTACCACTTTCCGAGTCTCCGTGTTTTCCCTGTTTTGCCTTGCCTGTTTTTGCGGTTTCTGACCTTTGCCTGTTTTCCTGGATTTATGAGCCATATCCAGAGTTTTTAGCCATCGCTCGCTATTCTGAGTTACCAGACTGTCTATTGATAGAGTTTTTCTGCGATGGCATAAATCAACCTCTGAGGGGATCGTCATGAGTCAAGTCTAGTCACAGCTGTTCCTCCTGAGTTCAATCAAGCCACAGCTAATCTTCATTATCATGAGTCAAGTCTAGTCACAGTTGATCTTCCTGAGTCGAGTCTAGTCACAGTTGATCGTCATGAGTCAAATCGAGTCACAGTTTATTATCCTGAGTCTGGTCAAGTCACAGCTGATATTCATGAGTCTAGTCAAGTCACA